TGGCAAAGCTTTGACTAATAACTCATCTCTTTATTTAAAGATTACGTGAAACAAGACTCAGCACAGACAGAAGTAGGAACAACTACCACAAATCGAGCACTCAGGGAAGAACAGGACTGGGATGGAGCCAAACCATTTTTTGTTAAGGTATCATCATTGCACAGCACAAAAACACTATGTTGAGATAAGGCTGGGGATGAGCTCCCAGTAGTAATCAGTCTTTTATTCCTGAAAACTCTTAAATCCCTATTGCAGAGGCTCTTAATTTCAACACTGAATTAATCATTTATCTAATCTAATGATAGGAGAAATCCCAAAGCAATTTTGTTTGAAAACTGTATTGTCTTTACCCTTCTTCTCCTTGGGCTTCACAGCTGTCCACATAATAACTATTTCAGAGCTTGACTCCTAGGCACAGCCTCTGTTGAAATACCTGAGGCCTCATAGCAGATTTCAAGATTAATAAACTCAAGTATCACCACATAACTATCTTACAAACTTTCCAGATCTACACAAACAAGAAAAAAAAAAAGAAGAAAAAAAAGAAAAGGCAGTTCCTCTAGGTTCTAGTTAGTGTTGCCATTTTAACTGAGGGGCCATCAGCCTCATAACATTTTGTGCAATTCAGTAAAACCTTCATTTCCATGAGTACTGAAAGCAAGCCATAAATCCCCTGGTCCCAGCAGACAGTCCATCTATGAACTTTCTCCCTCTACCCCCACTGAGTCAGCGTGGTTCTCTACTCCACATTCAGCCCAGGGTACTTACTACATGCCGGTTTCTCTAACGTAATCACCTTAAATACTCATATCCATTAAGGTTACAGATCTTAGGACCATTAAATGGAACTCTTAGATACTAAGTCCCATATGGAGTAAATCTCTTTGGCAGTTTCTCCACTGGAAAGCTGCCTCGGATTCAAGGCTGATCTCCACCAGGATAAGATACCAACATTCTTTATGCACTCCTTGATAACAGCGCAAAGTATATGCATGCAGTCCGCTCAGCACAACATGCAAAGCAATGCAGCCGTCGGTAAGCAGCTTCAGAAACAGTTCTGCAAACTATAAGGAGATCTCAGAGGGAAACTCAGCTTCAGAACAATATTATCTTTTAACAGCTTCCTAATCCCCTCACCCCACTCCTGCAGCTTTACCTTTTAGAGAGTCACACCCCCACCCATGCCAATTCTTGCATCCAAATTTAACAACTACAAAAATAAAAACGTGATAAGACAACCTTCACAAAAGAAAATAAATGATTTTTTTTTTTAAAAAAAAAACAGCATTTTGAGGATAAATCTAGAGTGCCTGCACTAAGCCATAACCTCTTTACCGATGTTTTTTCCTTCCCCTTAACAGATTCAGGGACTGTAATGACATTTAATCCTCAGAAGCTAATCTAAATGTAACACTCAAAAGAAGACAAAGACAACGCAAGAGAAAAAAAAAATTTGGCCACTGCCTTTTGGGAGTGCTGCTTTATCCCCGGAGCGAGCGCATTAATAGAGCTTGGAATGAAATGCCATTTTATTCTCTGTAGCAGGGAGGGGATTAGCAAGTTGTCTTCTCTAAACCCAGTCTGAGTCATGGCTCTGTGAACACTGAGAAAAGGATGTGGAACGAAGCGAAGGGCGGGGAGCACTGGCTTTTTATTTACACGCTGCTTCCTTTGTGGGTGGTTACTGATGTGCACGGTTTGCTAAACGGGAAAGGAAGGGGTCTAAAAGTTCTAGGTCCCCAGACTTTAATTCTGTTGGTTAACAAAAGAAAAAAAAAATAATGCACCAATTATAACAACATCATTGAGACAATATGTCCGTGGCAACTGTCCAATTCACCACAGCATGTAAGCAACAAGGGCAAGTTGCTTAAGGTGCTGAAAGCTGTGCTTTGTGGTTTCTTGTTGCTAGGATCTTCTTCCTGGGAGAAAGAAACAGGTTGGACAGAGCCCAGAACACAGGAGGAGACACTGTGGTAGGAGGAATGCAGAGACAGGAGCAGGCTGGGTTCAGGTGAAGAGATGAGAAGCAAAGTCCATTGCACAAGTCAGGCCATGCAGGCATTAAGCCTAGCGTCCTTCCTTGAAGCAGAAACCAAGAGCTAATGGCTCTGTCGGTGATTTAATATGAAGCTCAGCACTAAGTTCTTCACTTCTATTTCTGTACAAAGGGAGATAGGAAGGTTTACCTGCCTACCTCACAGGCACACTGTGAAGGGTTGCTGGTAGAAAGCTCGTACAATATTCCTCTAAGTCCTGTACAATATTCCTAAGTTCCTTGGTAATCACTAAGGAGAGGAACTAGTCCGTGGAACACTTGACCACTTGTGCAGAGCTGTAGGTGTTGATAACAGAATTACAAAAGTCAATAAATGCCAAGAAAACACTGGTTTTTTATTTCAGATATTTCTTAATCTTTGCTTCAACATGGACTCTGAAAAATAGGGTACTCACTATAGAAACAGCCCCAGCTCTATTCCCCTCTTCCTTCATCAGCTGATACACAATGGCAGAAGACAACAAATAGCAGGTAGATTGGTCTCACAAGGCACAAGTGCCAGGAGCAGGTCAAATAGTTCAGTGAAACAGGGATGATAGAAGCTAGGGAGGAGACACTATGGGAAGGAGATGTGCTCTCCTCTGCAGATGGAGAAAGTGCCACTGCGGGTTTCCTTTCATTACAGGAGCTGTTGTGGTCCAGCACTGGAAGCAGGCAGCCCTGCGCTTCATTCATACTTTGGCTATATTCCAGTTCATGTAATTTTGCTGGAGTGTCAGTTTATTCCTGCCAACCAAGCTACTAGATCTGCATAAATCAGCCTTACCTATCTCAGCACTTACTGTGCTTGTATGTCTAATGCGAAAGTGCAGAACAGAATGAGCAAACTATTCTTTCCAATGAAGTCACAGGATCTTGTTAATTTATTAACATAAACAGGCTGTAGAGATTCAAATATACAACACCTAACAAGAAGACCTCACAACATGCATACTTCAAGTCCTACCAATTAAGCATGAATACCAGTGTATGAAGGAAGTTTCCCTGTCCCCGCTATCACGACCCACAGGTGAGGGCACTCTTCAAGAGCGTTTGTATGGCATGTTGTACACCAAGGCAACGATCCCGAAAAGGATCACTGCATACTGCTGCAAGAGACACGTACGCTGCAGGCTGATGGAACAAAGCAAAGATTCTTTCCGCATGTACAATTATCAAAGGGCATTATCAATCCCAGATCCTATACTCCAACACGCAGCTCAGTGCAGTCCTGACTACTGATGGCAATTTCTACTGTAAAGAAATAGAAAGTATGATGTTCACCTTCTCCCTTGGTTTCACTAGTGCCACACAGCTTGTCCCTTCTCAAGGCATCCCCCAGCCACATTATCTTTTCACACAAAATTCACATTAGGGCAGGCATCTCTTTGGGCTGTAAGGAAGACAGCCTAAGGAATCTGTCCCTTTATGACAGCTCAAGTTCATATGACTTCAAATAGAAAGGCATTGTACAGTAAGGCCAAAAGCCAGGGACTGGCAGATGATGAAGGCTCAAAGAAAAGGGGAAGGAACCCCTAACAGACCATAAATGCATTATCTGAATCTTTAGATAAAGGCATTTGCATTGGTCTCAGCCACTAACCTTTATGAGAAACGGTTGCATCCCTGAGTTTCCTACACTACCAGCCTTCACCTCCACAAGAAACAGAAGAGACCAAATGAAACTGAAACCTCAGAATCTAACTTAAGACTACTATAAAAAATAGGTTAGTTAAGGTCTGTAATAGCAAGTAAAGAACGTAATCCAAGGTCCTAATCTCCTCCTTTACAAAGACACAAGCATAAATCATTGCTAGATGTGTTCCCAACAACTGATTGCACATCTGCAGAAGCAAATCCAAGAAAAGACTGAACTGATCAAAGACTGTCAGAACTTTATGTCCCATGAATTTTTAAATTTTTATTTAAAAACAGAATTTAGAATTCTGCTATGGAAAACTGCATGAAAATGCACGCAATGTGTTAGCTGCCTTGTTTTGGCTTCTTTAGCAACTTATTGCTCGACTGTCCAAACAAAAATGTGAAATTACAACAGGTTATGTGATGCTTTGGCAGCCAAACATAATTTTAAATAAAGACAGCACAATATACAGTATACCCCACTAACATATTCATCACTACTATATTATCTATTTATGCAATTAAGTATCATACAGTCTGGACTGGACCCAACTGGACTACATATGTTGCTACTCCAGTTTACTGCATGTTGGCCAACTGTTTACCCAACTGAGATCCGAGTGCTGCTCTTGACAGTGTAATTGCTTTGGACTCATTAATATTAAAGAATTATATAAAATATTTTTTCTTGGACAGCTGTTAGTGCATGTGGAACAATAAGCTATATGACACTACTGGCAAACACAAATGGAATTTAGACACAATTTAAAAAGACAACATTAAATGTCCGCTAATTGTGCCAAGGCCAATGGAAAAGGTCAGAAAAATCATTGCACCCATTCTAAGAAAACATTCATGGTAATTACAATTCTATTTTGATTGAAATTTACAGAGCTAAGGTTTAGGCTGGTTACCTTTTTCTTCCCTGGACAATGAAAACTTTAGAAGGGGTGCCATTCTTCCTACACCATGCACTAGCCCAATGCTGCAATGTGTAGGTTAGATACATTGGGTCAAAGTTTGAACAGATTAAACATGTTCCATTGCCATTTTGAAAACCCTAGTAAATATTCCCATTTAATATGAATTTTCTAAGTCCATGTCTTCTTGCTCATTCTCCCTTGCAAGATCTGACAACTTTATACTGAATTCTGTCAAGCTTGGCACAGACAGAGCGGATGCTAGCTTACAACTCCTCAACATCCTAAATACCTGACAGGAGGTAACTTCACACTCCATTTACAGGAATATCCAGAAGCTACACAGAGAGCGTTATGAAATGCAACTGGAACTGCTGAAAAGAACAAAAATGGCTCCTCACTTTATCCACTCCTCTGCCTTGGTGGCTGCCTCCTGGTACTGCTCGGATGTCAGCTTGTAGATCTCTGCATTCTGAAACAAAGAACATAATGCTCAGCTCTAAAAATTAAAGGCCTCTCAGATCTTATCCCGTCACAGAGTTATCTTCTATAATTAATAAAGATTTCCAACAACAAACAGCATATTCAGTTCAAAGAACACAAAAACTGCTTAAAAGTTGATTTTCTTTTCAGCAAAATGCATCAAGGCCACAACATGTCCTCCACTCTCCAACTTTGTGAAGGGAACGAGGGGAAAAGGTCGCTCACAACCAACTGTCAGCTTTGATTATTCCCTGTAATAACAAAACCAAGGTGTTTCCAGCACCGAGTTATTCTGAGTTAGGTTGTGTTTTGTTCTCTTTTTTCATTAATTGCTGTGAAGGATCTTCTAAGTTACTGACGTGCAAGTATCAAAATTGGCTGCTAGCACTGGAAAATCCATTTTACATTTCAGTGCTTCTACTTATGTTACTTATTCTTTAAAAGAAAATTATGCAGCCTGTTTCCCTTTTAACACAGGGAGGCGTATCAGGTATCAGTTAAGGCACTGCCAAACAGAGTCTGGAGTGTCTTGCTGCAGGGCTTAAGAGGTTTGCATTAAATTCTCCTGAGCTTGCACGGAAAGAGTTTTAGTTCACAACTGCTCAGACGCTGAACGCAGAGGATGAATTCCTCCTCTTGGCTGCACTTACAAGCCTCCCAAGCACAAAACAGCAGAAGGGAATGGCTGCACACCCCCGATGACTTCGCTGCAAGGTCTTGTGTTACTAAACTGCTGATGAAGCTGCTTTAGGCAAAGCCTCTGGACTTTATACTGAAATAGCTGCAATTGCCTCACTCAAAACTCATCTGCAAGGCCCCTTAGTCTGAAAAGGCACATGCAGAAAATATGCAATAATCAATCAAAAAAATGACAAAGTGGTATCGAAAGCGAGGACAGCTATTCATTTAGGGCCGGTTCTAGCTGCTATCTCTCCCCAAATTTGGTCATTTTATATAGAATACTATTCTTGCTCTTCTTCATTTATTTTCCCATAAATGCAGCTGTGGTCCTGCGCATGATGAGACGACACATATTGTTCAGCGGTTAGAAAAAGGAAAGGACAGATATAACTCAAGTTCTATTAGCGGTTCTGCCACTTGTGCAATCTTGGGCGAGTCACCATTCTCCATCTGCAAGCGAGGGATAACAGCTGCCTGTATCACTGAAGTTGTGTGAAGCTCAGCTAATTGGAAGGTTTATACAGGTTTTCAGAGCCTAGGCTTCAAGGTGCTATATTTAAGTGTTTTATCTCTGGTGCCTGAATTTATGTCACATACCGAAAAACCCACAGAACAGACTTTGCTTTTCCAAACTTTGACCTGGGAGACAGACTTAAAATGAGAACTCACGGATGAGTAACCACTTCAAAATGTATTTTGCCAGCAAATTGTCATTGAAGTTTTCATTTACTTATTTGTTACATAATGGTCAACTTCTATACTATTAAACCCACTTTACTCCTTCCTATAATGAAAAGTTCAGATTTTAATGGAGCCTTTTTCTCTGTCCTGTAAACAGACCTCCCGACTTTCAGCTCCCTGCTGTTACTTATTCACACATGAAACCACAAGACCTGTGCTCCATTAATTAAATTTGCCATTAAAAATTAAATAATGTGAATAAGTAGATGTAAGCGTTATCTCCATGGGTTTCGTAAGTCTCACCGTTTCTCCAATTACTACCCAAGCAATTTTCATATTTCATACTGTCTGATTTCTCAAAGGGCCTGGATTTGAAAGATCAAAACGAGAGAAAGTGGGAAAGAGAGAAAGCAAGGTAGTAAAATTAAACATTTTTCAGGCAATAGGAAGTAGCCCCGTCAGATACTATTAGCCTGCAGCACGCTGCAGCGAAACAGCAGCGGGAGAGGAAAACAGGAACAAATATGTTGTACGTGAGACCCAGCATGAGGCTGGCATTTAACCCACCTAAAGAAAGAAAAAATAGCCAACAGATTCATTTACTGCTTGCACTGTCGATTAAAGTGGGTGTGGCACAAGCTTGCCTGGCTGATTAGAGTGTTCAACTGCCCAGTACTATGGTCAGCCCCCTCCGCAACAACAGCAACTACAAACATGGACAAAAATAGAGAGAAACCGGTATGAAATAACGCTGGATCCTAAATTGATGAAAAGCAGGCAAGTGAGAACCTGAACGGAGAGGCAAGAACCTCAGTGAGGGAAAGGAGGAGAGACCTGACCTCAAAGAAACCACGAGGCACATGGCGCGATGCGAAGATCAAGGAGGGGCACAGAAGACCTTCCACCTGAAGATGAAAGCTGCTGAGTTTTAAAAATGAAAAGGAAACATCTTTGCATGTGATGCAACTGGGCCTCTCGCCTTTGAGTCAGACCTCTCTGCCGCCTTCTTCCTCCCTCCCCCTCAAAAACCCTAAAAACCAACAAAGCAGTATTTCCAATCCTATGAATCAGTATCTTTAAATGTTTCACCAAGTAAGAAAAAACAAAGTTTTAGCATTTAAACCTGAGTTTGTTCAACAAGCAGACTTGTTAAACAGGTTCTCCTTGGCCTCTAGGCCCTTTCCTACCTTGGGAAACTCACATTCACTTTTGTCCTAAACACTAAATGAGCAACAAACGGGCTAAATGAGCAACAGAGGGGCCTTTCCACGTGGGCAGTCACAGCAGGATCTGTGATTTGGGGCTTCTACTTAGAATAATTTTCCAAGTATCCCAATCTATATGACTTCAGATGCAAGATCTGCTTCATTTTCAGTATTTTACCCTATCGCACTGTGGCAAGGGAAAACGTTCCGGTGACTTACAAAAATCTAGGACTTTATAATAAGGTTGCAAACAAGGAACCAAGCCAGGAGCCACCTGTGCACTTCCCGTGACTCCAGCACAGCCACCCACGCACAAGGGCTATTGAGCAGGATCAAGGTGCCGTATTTGCACTTGAAAAAGTCTGAGCTGCCCCGAGTCTTTAGTGAAGTCCTTTAGCTTCATAAAATGATATTCAGTTGCGCAGTAAAAGAGAGAACATTCAACACAAAATTACAAGACATCAACGCTGCTTTTAATTTACTCTCACAATATTTGATGCTTGAGATAAAATGGCAGCTCACGAAAAAAAAAAAAAAAAGTTGAACATAAGACCTCAACTATTATTAAATAAAGCTCCTGGCAGTCTTAGTTGCAGAAATAAGTTTTAAAACATGACCAAAGGACACCATAAGGGCTCAAATAACAAGAGACACAGAAAGAATGAATGAACCACCTAAAATGTTTCACTTCTCTCAATAAAGCTGAGCCTTAGGGGAGCCAACTTCAGAACATGAGAGCTTTGTCATACGGGGAGAGAGCTCTCCAGAGAGGACAAACAAACTAAACAAAGAAATGTTAGTTTGAAAGATTTTCCCCTGCTATTAAATGATGGTTCGTAGCAACTAATAAAAACACCGAGAAGTTATAAAAATACATAACTAGAGCCTAAAGACCAACAGAATCACTTTCTTTCTACCCTACTGCTTTTCTACAACAGATTTGCTGCTATACCCTTGCTCCCCTCTTCACCCAAAACACCCCTGCACTAAAAATTCCCCTTCCACAGGGAACCAATTTTAAAACTTAGAGCTAAATTTGGAGTAATTTTAATTCAGCTTCCTGCTTGGCTGCAAACATGCAGAGAAACTCCAACACTCACTACTACACATCGCTGCACTGCCCAGGCCCTTTCTTCAGCATATAGCAAAGAAAGGGAGAAAACAATATAGCAGAAGACTGAGTTCTCAGTGTTATTTCAGGAGGGAAAGTAATTGAAGCATAAAGAGAAAACCCTGCCAGCTCATTCTCACATTGACATTAAACCACATTCCTTACAACTTCAGTGAAACATGCACTACTTGCGGTAACACGTAAAACAGAAAACTGAGCAACGTGAGCATGAGGAACTAGAAATTAATCAGATTTTATGCGGAATTCTTTGTGAACATCAAGCAGCAGCAGCAAAAACCTTACACCGGGACACAGATTTCTCCATCAGGTTCAGTCTGGGTCAATAGATCAGAAGGTGTCCGGATTAAGAAAAAAAAAAAAAAAAAATCCCAACCACCATCACCGTAGCTATCTTGAGATATTTTGACACCTCAGAGTATAGAAGCTTGTCAGCGGTCACAGTGCTTAAAGATACAAAGAGGATTAACAGCTGTTGAAATGCTGCCAGCCTAGATGAATGCTAGTGATACCTCTGATGAAACGGAGCGGGCCAGTGGAGGCCTTGACAACTGCTGCAGACGACAGCCGGGGGATTAGATGGCACAATCTGCCTCGCACCTGACAGACGCCTTGCTTCGATCCCCTCTCCTAACGGCCGCACGCGCCAGCTTCCAGCAAACCTCCCGCCGCAAGCCCCACTCCAGCCGAAAGGAGCACGAGAGGCGGTGCCGCATGGTGGGGGGAACATGCGGTACGCCCTGACAGTAGGAAACACTGCAAATTTGGGAGAGAAAGGGGAAAGGAAAGCAGAGGTTCCTTCTCATGTATCGAATGTCAACTGGAAGACATTCAAATTCCTTCTTCCAGCTGCTTCTAAAGCCAGAAATAAGACCTCACGCCATCCGGATAAAGCGGCATGACTGTCACCTGCCCGCCCGCGCTTGGGGACGGGGAACGCACGCGTGCCCTGGACACAGCTGCTGCCAAGAGGAACAGCGGGAAGCTACAGAGAAACTGCAGCCAGTGCAGGCTTCGGGAGCTGCCTTTGCTGACAGCAGCGCCGAAGGGAAGCAAAGGTGCGCTCGGGCACCGCGCACCTCACCGGGTCGCTGCTTCACACGCACTATAAATCAGGTTGCTCACTCCCATTGCTCAGAAGTCTCATGCAAATGGATGCTAACAGATTTGAAAAATTACTCCATCCACTTGCACCCCTCCCGCAGGTGCAGAGGCAGATGAGCTGAACCGATCTGTTCACTGCGCGACCCTTTGGATCTGTTAAAATCAACCTACACAATCAATCACTGCTAT